AGGCTGACTGGACTGATGCACTCCGAGGTTGTTAATGTTCGAAGGAGGCAGAAAGAGCTGCTGTATCCCATGGCTGTTTGTGTTCATAGTAATCTGTGATGACTGATGCACTCCAAGACTGTTCATATTCACATTAAGCTGAGAGCCTGAGATGATGACTAATGCATCCAAGGACTGCTTGTGTTTAAGTAAAGTTGAAAGGAATACTAGCTTTGAGGCTGTTCATGTTCACATCAGTCTGATAGAATGTACTGCTTGTTTACAAGACTTTTCATATTCCTTCTACAAGTATCAGTAGCCAGAGAGGATGGAATCCTTGGGCTGTCTGTGGTTTCTAAATGATCACTTGTCTGTTTGTCTGCAATACATATATCTTGGTGGGTTTTTCTTTTTTGGTGAAATACTGGTTCCAGTTTGATATTCTGTAAAATATAACAGAAAAAGTTACTTGCCTTTAAATTGTTCAACTAATAAATGGCAGCAAAAAACATTTATGTGATGAAAAAGAAATGGTGCTACATGAAACCAGTTCAAGTAAGAGCTGTATGTTGTGACTTTTGCAACAAGACTATTATATATTCTTGTGGCACAACCAAATTGGGAAGCCATTTGTGCCACACCATGTGGCCAGGCAATGTTGATGTTAACTCGACCTTAAACAAGAATCCATTTTTATAATATTTGTGTTTGTCATTTCATTTCATCTTAATATAATAAAAGAAGAAAAAGCAAAATGAATATGAATGTACAGTAAAACTTGTTTAGTATGAACATGGATATTAGCGAATTTACAGATATGGCCAAGTTTTTTGCAATACCCGACAAAATTCTTAACAATTTCATGTAAAATTTTACGGATACATGTATAACGAACTCAGATATAGCGAATTTACAGCTATAGTGGCCTGATTTTGTGTCCCTTAGAAGTTAAATATAACAAAATTTACATCTTTTATAGCGAAGTTTTAAAGAACTTAATTTTTAAAATATTGAACTCAGCCTGATAATAATTTTGTAAGTATAAATATCTGAAACTCAATTCATTCCAAAAATTTTGAACTCAAAGATAAATTTCATATTTTAAACTTCCCTAAATACATTTGATAGTCATGCTTGAAGGAAAAAAATTGATATAATGAATTCGTTATACATACTTTAACAAATTATGGATATAGCAAAGTAAATTCGCAGGTCCCCAGAACTTCGCTATAACTGAGTTTTGCTGTAATATTATGATACAAAATTTAACATTGCAATATATTGTGATACTATTTTTCATTTGCGATACCCAGCACTGTGTACAATAATACAGCGAAAGTCATCTAATAATCTAATCCAGACACCAGGTGTTCCGAAGAAATTGGCCAGATTTGACCACATTCAGGATTATACATTTTAAACAAATTAAATTTAATCAGCTGTTCATGAAACGGACTTAAATTTTTAAATTACATTGCATTAGGCAAGATTTCAGAATACACATCATCATGGTTAGACAAGTTTCACTGTAATATCCTTGTCTTAATTTGTGGTTGTCTGATCAATTGTTAAATCTGTAATAAAATTTCTACCTCATAGTAGAACAAATATGCAAGGTTTCTAATTCCAAATCACCAGAAAATTTTCCAGTCAGCAAGCACAGTTATGAACCATTTACAGAGATATAAAAAAAATTACCTGCAATAATGTAGCCCTAGCTTGAGCTCTCCTTTTTTTCCTCCAGAAAAAATCAGATTAAAAAAATCAGAGAGGGCTACATTTTTGTAGCTCAAAGAAAATATTAATGATATGGTTTTGTATATAAATTATTGTACAAAGAATGGTTACGGTAATAAACAGTTCATCAGTGAATTTTCTGTGAAAGTGTAACATGCATAAATGTCTGTGATTCTAGGGGAGAAGTACATTTTGTACTCCAATGACCACGAAATTTGGAGCTTAACATACCTAGTATTATTATGATACTACTGGGTAAAAATTACTACAGAATCAAATGCCTGCTGCATGTCTGAAAAATAGATATCTCGGGTTGAGGCTCCTCCAAACGAATGTATGTTAGTTTGCCCTAAAACACAATCGCCCTTGACATCATTGGCCCTAATTCTCATTCGCCCAGAGTCCGTTTGCTCCAAAAACTCATTTGTCCAAAGTCCGTTTGACCTTCATTTGTTACGGTAGTCAGTTAATTTTCGTAAGGTCCTTTGATTTTATCAAATTTCATGAGTTTTGTGTTTAAATTTTAATTTTTTTCTGTTTGAAAATTCAGTATAAGTGAAGAAATTGAAAAAAAATGTTAAATAGTTGATTTGATACTTGTTAATTTATATTAATATTATATATTAAATTGAGAATAGAAGAATCTTCAAAAAATAATCCTGTTGCTTAGAGACTGCCCATCACCAATTAAGGCCTTTTACATACATGTGATATGTACCGGCGGTATGCAAAATGTACCATTTTTTCGAGTCCATTCATCGTGTGCTGGCGGGACACCAAAATTCATGGAATATGAAAATTTGTACAGTATTTTGAATTTCTCACTAAATGCTAAATACTGCCATTTTCCTCTCATTCTCGCTCATGAGACACTGGAAAACATCACCTGTGTTTGACACTTGACCTTCTGATAATTGTGTAGTGTACACAAACCATCGCGTGTGAAGGTGTGAACTGCCAATTGGGATAATTATCTTGCTCTAAATCTGTATCAAGATACCCCTTTAGGTAGCTTTATTTTTAAAGGGGTACTTAATTATAACTGTTAATGTTTCGTAACTTGATTGAAAAAAGTTAAGCCAACTTCTGAAGTTGATATACATGACTTAGTATACATGAATCTGACCCAGATCTCCGTAGGTATAAAATATACGATGTTTATTACTATTATTACGATGAAATAAAGGATATAGTTTTAAGTTTAATTTTATATTTATGAGCTGAAATTTATGTATGATTGTATTTGCTGCTGTTAGCATTGCTGATGTATATATCAGTAATATGAACAAGATGTAAATTGACACTGACTCTGACTCTCACGTTAATACTATATAAAGCTGACAAACAAACTCTCATTTAAACTAACTTAATTTATAATCGATTCATAAGAACACTGTGATTATAAAACACAATATATGAAATTCTAAAGCATTCAAATCTGCATTACAACTTTTAAAATAAGACATTTGCAACAATATATATTTGTTGGTTTAGAAATAAGGTGCCTTATCAGAAGAATTTAAGCAATATTTTATACCGTTCTTTGTACCGTTTTTTAATAGGTAGTGTACAGTTTTTTCACCCAAATTCCAGTTTTTTATGGCTCCTGTACAGTTTTGTGGTCTTTGACTAATCACAAGTACGATTTTAACATAATTTATGTCTCAATTTCCTTAATTATTTTCAAAACATACATTTAAAATGAATCTTTAAACAAGAAGAAAAGAGAAAGTGTTCCCTAGTTAATTTCAGTTCTAAATTAACAGCAATTAAACCTATTATGTTTTGATAAACATTCACATCAGAAATCAAGTCAATACTGATGGAAAGGAAATAAGTTTACCAGATCTATAAATTAACAAAACTAAAATAAGAAATGACATTAAAATTCAACAATAATGCTGATATACATGTATAATATTCAAATAGGGCAAACGGGGTACAGGGTAAATGAGAATTATGTCAAATGAACCCTGAGCGAACAGACTCATGCGAACAGGTAGACAGGGTGAACAGACCTTATACCCCTTCAAACCCAACTGTCCAAGACTGGCAAGAGAGAAGATTATATTATCATTATTCCCATCTTAGAGCAGCAGAATAGTAGCCTTATTTCAAATGAAATGAATAGACTGTTCTCAGCAATTTATGTGGCATTGAAGATCATGATTAGCTTTAAACAAAGATAGAGTGAGGCTAGAGATGCCATTATTTACATTATCATTAAGCTGTTAAGCAGACACTTCACCACTGTTCAGTTTTCACTCCATCACTCCATGACTTCAGATGACTGCACCAAAACCCATATATGTATAGTGCCTGTGCAAACTCTACTGAGCATAACCGCACAATAATCTTTTAATATAGTTTCTAAGATATATTCCTTAATACATACCAAGAAATAAAATTCAGTAAATGTGTCAACGTAGAGCTTACATTTACAGCTTTCAGCATCATGAGCATGTAAACATTTTACTTACACTATTTCTACATTTTTAGCATCTCAAACCCGATGATTAAAAATAAAAGTGAATCATAGTGTAACGTTTTTCCGATACGGTCTAAGGGGAATAAGTCTCAGTGTTTTAATTAACTGTTCACATTTTGATTTGTTCAATTGTAAAACACATACCCCATGTGGGGGCTTTAGTGAAAATAAAAGTTTCAAAGTGTCTTGAAATGATACACAAGTAATAAAGTTTACGGTTTATTCACATTTTAAAATTCACATTGGCACAAACACAGTAAGTATAAAAATTTGCAATGACACATGAAAACTGACTGACTCTCTGTCTAAAATCGCTCCTATATTTATACATTAAACCCATTGCTCGCGCGGAGCAATGCAATGTAAACAAAAACCCATTGCTCATTTATAGTCTGTCCCACGACCGGAACGTCACTACTTTTTGCAAGATATCTCAAAATATATAAATACCTTGGCTTTCAACCTAGGTTCGATCGGTAGATTGATTTTTTTCCAAACTTCCTGCATTTATACGAACCCTCGAAGTCAACCAGTGTATTGACACGGCGGCAAATTCAAAGTCTACGGGGATTTAACATTGTCAAAATGGCAGCCACTTCGGAAGGGGATCCATCATTATTCGTAATTTTCCGTACATTGCCGTCAGTGAGGTAATGACGTCACGCACGTTCGGGAATGCTCTGTACTTATCGACGTCCAAAAAGCTATAAAGCCCGAAACTTGCCAAGTATATATTTAGGCCTATATATAGGAGAAATTGCGTCTTCGACAAAACTTTCATACCCAGGCAGAAGGGATCAAAGATTTTTAAAAACAGCTAGCCTATACACTGCATAAAGAAAAGAGGTATGACTCAATTCATATATCCTTTGAGATATGATTTGGAATTATGTTAAAAACAATCTAGGCAACTGCAAATTTAGCTCAAGTGATTTGACTGCTTTTATTGCCAAAACGTAGAGATCTAACTTCTAGTAAGCGTAGTCATATTATTATTAAGATTATTAAAATTAATTGCTGCTTTACCTTACTCCTTAGCCTTCCACATAAATCCAACTTCCTATAGTTTGTTGTAAACACGGTCAAAATAAGCATCGTATCACTTGATGTCCATAACTGCACAGTGTATCCTGTTTTTGTTAGACTTTCAACACTTTAAACACATAAATCCACAATCAATATTACATTTTGAATCTCGGTGCAAAACAACAATTGTTGTCTGCATCAAACTACGTCACCAATGGAATTTGACCTTGCCCTTCGATATCGGCATTAGGTAAATTCAGGCCCTTGGATATATTTTTAGTGTTTCCACAAATATAACAGAATGCCAAAAATTAAATACTCAATCCTACATACAAAAACTACATAACACAAGTGTAAAAGATTATATTCTAATTTTTTTTATTGTAGTTTTTCCTTTTCTTTTTTATAATCTTCTTTTTTTTCTTTTGGTAGAAAGGTTAATAGTTTTACATATGAAAAAAAAAGATTATACATGTATATATATTGACACTTTCAATACATTTGCAAGACATAAAGTCAGAGTCAGCTGCTAGTCTGATTCTCATATAATAAAAAAAAATTTATTCATAAAAACAATAGATGAAATTTTTGAAACAAGAATTTAATTGCAGGATACCAAAATAGCTACCAGGTGAAGACACAATATAGACAAGCACAAACAAACAAGTACATAAAATAAACTCAGCCATAAGTAGCTGCAGATACATCCTAAGTAATTTTGGCTATATGGACTGTAGATCTGTGTATCAGTCTGGGCACCTTAGTTGTCAGAATACCTCATTAGTATACAAGTATTTGTAATGCAGAGGTCCTAGGTTTGATTCCTAGTCAAGCAAAATGTTTTTCCTCATGTATTTGTAAATTTTCAAAGTAATTGTTTATTCATTATTCCATTCCCTAGTACATGATATACATTTTTTCTAAATTGCATTATACTATGGAATCATTTTAATTTGTGGAGGTCAGTGTTTGTGGACAGGCATATAGTTTTGCTTTTTTGTGGACAGGACATAAATAAGGTTAACAAAAATACAATCAAAGGAATTAATGGATTGATTAAAATGTTAAAATAAGCATTTGTGGAAATATAAATTTATGGGTATAGTTGATCCATGTGATAAAATCCAAGAATGTTGGTCCCCCACAAACAATGATGATTCCACAGTAGATGTCAATCAGTTTTTGTAAGCTACCTGTCTGAAATGGGCAAAGTAATTAATCATACTCAGATAATTGTTTTCAAAATTTTATTACTGCTTGTTTATCAGCTAGATATAATTATATGTTTTTAAAAATTTTCAAATAGAATTGCTTCAAACTTTAAACACATTTAGTGAGATTACAGGAAATATTGCAAACAATTAATAAATTGTCTTTCCTTTATTTAAAGATATCAGATCAAATTTAGAAGATTAAATGATTATGAAAATTGAGTGTCCAATGCTGCCAGTGTCCATGCTTTTGAAAAAAGAAGTCATGACTCAGAATCCATAGTGAGAAACAAGTCATGAATGAAGACTGAGATGGAGTGTTTATGTTTCTGTCCACTAAAACTTCTATGGAAAATGGTTGGGTGTCTGGCTCATCCAATGATCAACCCATTGGCCGACTACCAGGTAATCTTTCGTTCAGCCAATACTTTGGGCCTGAAAAAAAAGATGATGATGAAACACATTTTAATCCATCATAAAGATTCTGGTGCATGAAAATACTTTTAAGTCTGTGCAAAGTGAAATTTAAAGGAATAATGAAAATTCAAATGATTATACTTGAACTTGCATTACATGTTAACATGAACTGATACATATTAAAAATGCATGTACATAGTCAATCTTCAATTTCAGATTCCAACCTGAAGAATACATAGGAAGAGTAAAAGCTTTTTAGGCCCAAGTAGTTAAAGATTCGGGGGCATATAGTTTTTGCCCTGTCCATCCATCTGTCTGTCTGTCTGTCTGTCTGTTTGTCCACAAAAACTTTAACCTTGCCCATAACTTTTGATTGGTTGGAGCTATGGCTTTCATATTTCACATGTGTATTTGAAAAAACTTTAACCTTGGCCATAACTTTTGAACAGTTTAAGCCAGGTCTTTCATACATCGCATGTGTATTTCTTGTGACAAGACCTTTCTTAGCATACCAACAATTTTGACTTTTTGACCTTGACCTTGGAGTTTTTCCTACTTCAATATTGAAAAAAATTAACCTTGGCCATAACTTTTGAACAGATAGTGCTAGGGATTTCATACTTCACATATGCATTCCTTGTGAGAAGACTTGTTTTTAAATACCAACAACTTTGACCCTTTGACCTTGGAGTTTGACCTACTTTTGGAAAACTTTAACCTTGGCCATAATTTTTGAACAGTTGGTGTTGGGGCTTTCATACTTCACAAATGCATTCCTTGTGCCAAGACCTTCCTTAAGATACCAACAACCCTGACCCTTTGACCTTGAAGTTTGACCTACTTTTGAAAAACTTTCACCTTGGCCATAATTTTTGAACAGTTGGTGTTAGGGCTTTCATACTTCACATGTATATTTCTTGTGACAAGACCTTCCTTTGGATACCAACAGTTTTGGCATTGACCTTGGAGTTTGACCTACATTTAAAAATTTTTAACATTGGCCATAACATTTGAACGTTTGGTTCTAGGGCTTTCACATTTCACGATCATGTGTATCACTTGTGTCAAGTACTTCCCTTGGGCACCATTTGACCTTGACCTTGCCGTTTTACTTACTTTGAAAAAACTTTAACCTTCGCCATAACTTTTCAACGGTATGTACTAGGGCTTTCATTTTTCACAGGTATATTCCTCGAGACAAGACCTTCTTTGGGTACCAACATTTTTTAATTTCTTGACCTGGAGTTTGACTTGCATTTAAGAAACTTAAACCTTAGCCATAAGCTGCCATACGGGGGCATCAGTGTTTCACAAACACATCTTGTTCATTTATATAAATACTTGCTAGCTATAGTCCAGAAGAATGTCCTGAAACCTGAATGTTCAGTCCACTATCAGATGAATTCCAATCGCATTATTCTGAAAAATCGAATATATAGTCATCTACATGCTTGCATGTCTTACAGTCACACTGTCTGGTCATCATAACTTTGCACTCCAATTAATTATACATTCAAAAATGTTATTTAGTAATTAATAAAGGCATTATCAAATATTTTTTGCTTTAGTTATCATTACATTTCTTTGATCAATGTTTTGTTTTCTAAATAGATAGGACTGCAATAGGGAGATAAAACTAAAAAAAAGATGACACAGCTTAATAAAATGTTATATATCACGGTATACAATGTGTACAAAAATATGTAAGGTTTTTGTATCAGGATTTATTACTTTTTTGTGTGTATTGTGTAAGTTAGGTAGTATTATGTTTCTTGAAATTATTTTTTTTTAAGTTTTGAACAAAGAAAAATGACTTGTAAATTTTATAGTCAAAATCTCTTGATTGAAAGAGAAAAAATCTAAACACTGAGGATGCTGAGGGACAAAAACAAAAAATACACAAGAGATTAGAAAAAGTTTGTAAAATGTGGACATGAAGTGTGCTAAGCTTAAACGTTTCATTCTGATTGTTCAATATTTAAAAAGACAGGATAATTTGAAGATATTAGACATTATAATAGTCTGACTGGTTTATTATGTAAATCATTTTTGCTTTATAGCCATGATTTCTGATCTGCTACCCTCCTATCACTAAATCAAGCTACATGTACATAGCTGAATCAAGAGAATGTGCCATACCTGTATATACAGGGCATCTATTTCATCAAATTGAAAACTGTTCTGAATTTAGAAGTTTAAATTTTTGTTCAATACCCCACTCTACCCTACTAGGAAACAGGTTTTTCAAATTAAGTCCATATTTGAGCAGTATGGGACCTTGGAGACAAAATGAAGCTGCTGCCTGAGAAACACAACACAACAATTTGGAACACTGAATGTGGCACATGGCATTAAATAGAAAATTGCCTCTGATGTCATTTTTTTTTTGGGTGGGGGGGGGGGGGGGTGTCTGCATTCAGAATAAATGATTCAGTTTTATCTTAACGTTTATACTGTTGAAATTATATAGACATGGCTTGTTCTTTATTTTTTTTCTTTTTCCTCTTTTGCTTGTGTTCTTATTTAAACTGAATAGTCAGGACATGATTGCTGAAACACTCTGTATATTCATCTACCAAGATGGTTGTGCTATACATCAATACATGTACATAAATGACCCTTAGAACTCGGTCCTGTAAAATTGACAAAACTTTGGGCTAAAGGTATATTTTAGATGTTAAAACTTGTAAAAAAGACACATTTAATTTTCAATAAAAATTCAACAAAAAAAAAAAAAAAAAAATGCCAAAATTATGTGTTATATATACATGATATAGAAAACCCTATATTGATTCCCCAGGGTGTTGACACTACAAATATGCATTTTTACATCATGTAGATAGTGATTCACTGTCAAAAGCATGAAATGTTGAAAGATAAAGTATAGTCTTTCATATATTGAAAATGTTTAAGATTTTTACCAGCTGTTATTTTCTTTATGTAATCTTGGTGTTATTTTAAATTTTTTTCCCTATAATTGTTTAATCAGCTGGTTGTGTCATTATAACCATAAAAGTTTACGTTTACGTTTTTTAAACACACTTCTGTATATGGGGCACTGTTAAAATGCCAAATATACATATACCACGCATTTTGGCATATTCTTACGATTTGGAAACACTTCTTTCTTGTGTGTACATTAGATAGTAAAACAAAAACAACAAAAAATAAATAAAACAAACAACTTACGTTTTTAAAAACACATTCTTGCATCATCATGGCCATGTCAACATCCGTATCCACAACTTGTACTGCATTAGATTCGACCGCGGACTATTTTCTCGGCGTTCATGACAAAACTCGTTATACAGTGTTAAAATATATGTTAATTCAAATAAATACTCATATTATTAATAAAAACACTTTAAATTACGTCCTTTGATTTTCTCTGATTTTTCGGAATTTTACTTTGGAAAGAACGACTACTCCCTTCAAAAACTGGTTCCCCGCCCCGTAATCTAGACGCTAATGGACGAGTTTACCATGTTAAATCCCCGTAGACTTTGAATTTGCCGCCGTGTCAATACACTGGTTGGCTTCGAGGGTTCGTATAAATGCAGGAAGTTTGGAAAAAAATCAATCTACCGATCGAACCTAGGTTGAAAGCCAAGGTATTTATATATTTTGAGATATCTTGCAAAAAGTAGTGACGTTCCGGTCGTGGGACAGACTATAGAGCAATGTTATATAAACAATCAGTAGTTACGTAAAATATCGCTACAATATATTTTCTAACTTTTGAAAAAGATTGATATTATAATATAGATATGGCAGGATTCTGGCCACACTTGAAAAGTAAGAAAAATAAATTTTTTGGTCCTTTCAATAATAATTTAACATTCTAATGATACATCCGGTAAATATTTTCAGGTACAAACGCCATTGATTGATCATGTTTGGAAAGAGGTGGTATAGGGTTGAGGACCGGGAAAATAATTGACGACATACCTGGAAAATCCTTAACATGCCAAAAGAAGGGGGAGTCTAAATTTAAAATTTCTAGCAGCGATGATAGGGAGTTGTAGCGTAACGTAATACTGAGCTGTCTGGAGCTTGACTTAATTACATGGTCTATTATAATTCTTGTTTACCTATAACCTTTTATAATACATAGTGCAAAAGTTTGTGTTATCATTGCAAAGACATCAAATATCACTTCTAACTTCATATCATGCTAATAAGCATTGGTACCTTATGCTAGATTAAAAGAAATCCAATTTCTCTTAAATTTTTTTTTCTACTTTTATGGGGTACAAATGTCAACTTTTTACAATACCATTTCTAAGACTTCAAAGAACTTTGAATCATATGGAGATGCATAAAATGAAAATTGTTGCAAAAAAATATATTTCAATTTTAAGCTTCATTTTGAGACTTTTTAAATTAAATAATAGATTTAAGATTTATCGTTCCTATATACAGCTGAGTATCGGATATACTTAAGAAGAAAAAAAATTACGGTAGTAAATCCTTGTAAAACTAGTGTTTACTTATAACAAACTTGAGGAAGACCCCCCCCCCCTCCTCCCGAAAAAAACAAACACTTTTATAATAGTCAGAAAATACGTCAAAGGAATTTAAAACATTTAAACACGTGTGCACTATATATAAAGTACAGGTATTTAAAAAAGGTGAAGGTCACTGAAGGGTGCCATAAAAGTTGTAGGAAGCATTAATTATCCGTCAAATGATGGATAACTAGTGTACCTGATTTCGGAGATATAGAGAGATTATTACATGAGGTAAAGTATTAAACGGATCAGATATTTTTATCTGAAAGAGTGACATTTTTAGGATAATAAAAATAATCTAGTTTCGTTTTAAGGTGAAATATCCCGCTGCTCCAAATATCACCATCTTTTTTTTCAAATTCCCAACAATTGATTTTCGTTAACAACAATAGCATTAGATTCAAATGGAAAATAGTTTGAAGCATGAAGCGTTGCTGACTTTTTCAGAAATGAATATTATGTCTAATCATGATAAAAAGAAAATTTTATATGATAAATAAAAAGATCATAATGTTTTATCTCACAATAAAATTTAACATATGGACACTGTTGCATTGCGGTTAAACTTCAGTTTAATACGTTAAACTTAAATGAACATGCTTAAAATTCAATAACAAGGACATTCTTGATAAACTCACGTTAAATATCTGTGTTTGTAAACATGGGCATGACCTCTGTCAAATAGTTAACGGATTTTTTACCGGGTGTGTTCAATTTGTTTACTCTACACAAATCACTTGACACAGTCTGATCAGATGTGCTTTTTCACTTTTCTAATCTGAATTTTCTGGATTATAGTTTTAAC